CGCAGTTTGTGATTATCTCGCGCGCCAAAGCGATCTTTCTCAAAAAACGTGTTTCACGAGTACTACCTGCTCCGCCACACGCGCGCATGGCATCGATTCGCTCTCAAGAAAACGCGCGCTGTACGCCGAGCTCGCGACGCGCAAGCAGCGCCGGGCCCTCGCGACGCTGCGAAGCATTGTCGACGTGTGGCGGCCGTGGGCGGCCTATGGCCAGCGTGTGCGCAAGGTACTGTCGCACTCGTTTGGTATCAATGTATCAAGTTGCTTTTAGATTTGGCGCAAGAACGGCCTCACGCTGCACCTGCACACCAAGTTTTACACGACGAAACTCGCCTTGTACCTCTGGCGGTACTTTACGATGCTGCACCGGGACATGCGCCGGCGGCAGTACGTGTGTCTGCATGGCATGCTGCTGCGTCATCGACGAAAGGAGACGTTGACCGATGGTGTCGAGAACGACGTCGTGCCGCTCACCCGCATCATGGACTCGCCGATGGGCCACAAAATCAAGCACAAGACGCGTCTCCACGACCTCTGCATTACCACGTACATCAAATACCGCAAGAAGGACCGGCTCAACACCCTCGCCAAGGTACGCACGCCCACAATAATAGTGTCTCCAGTTCGGCACTATGTTGTGCAGGCGCTCGTCTTTCAGCGCATTGGCCCGATCGTCTTTCGCATCCTCTGGCTCTACAAGGAGAAGAAGAAGCGCAGCCGCCTCGTCTCCATGTTTGGCGTCTTCAACGTCGTACGCCACCGCTTCCTCTGCTGGCTCCGCTTTGCCATGATCAAGAAACAACACGTCGGATTGTCGAGGTTCCGTGCAGAGGTTCTTCATGGTTGTCAACGTAGGAACGGCAGCATGGACGCCCCACGGCGATAGCATTGGTGCTGCCAGACGAGCCGTCGTCACGGACCGTCGGACGCGCGCTGCAGTGGCGTCAAGACAAGGAGTGGCGCGACCAAGGTTGCGACAGTCGACGACCTATGAAACCCTCCAATACCGGCGTGTAGGGCTACAGGAAGCCGCGTGTGAAGCCATGGCCCTCCGCGACGCCATCGAGGCGCTCCGTGTAGCGAGAGAAGCGAGCCATGCTCGGTTCCTCCGCCGCGAAGACGAGATCCGCGACATCAAGGTCGCCGAACAAGGCATCCAGGACGACGAGCAAGGCAAGACGCTCCAAATGACGTCGCAGCTGCACCACTACGCCAACCAAGTAGGGACTTTGGGCATCAAATCATGGTGCCATGGAGCTTCTAGATCATCCATACACGCGTGCGCAAGTTGTACGAAGTCATTTGCCGCGCGTTCGACATCTTTGAAGACCAAGCGCGCGAGCACCTTCTCAAGTCGACGTTCCGCGCGCTTCGGTTGCCCGCGATGTCAAAGAAGATGACACTGCTCTGTCACCGGTGCCAATTGCGCAACTGGATCCGATTGGCCAAGCGGTAGATGCGACAGTGTACACTGTGTCGTCTTCATCAGGGGTAGGTTTGGGTACTGGCTGCACAACATGCCGCGCTACCATCGGCTCAAGCATTTGCACTACATGTGGCAGCGTTGGGCCAAGTTCATCCAGGGCCGACAGCTCTTCGAGTCGCCGGGGCTCGCGGCGACCATGCGGCGGCGGCGGGTACAAGCCCTCGTGCGATGCATGATACGATCGACACGTAGGTGCTTGTCTCCAAGTTTGAGCAGCATTTGCTCCAGGAAGACTTTATGATGCTCCCGACGGTCCTCGACCAAAAGCTCGCGTTCAACTCGTTCCGCGCAGTCTTCATGCGCTGGGTCGAGTGGACGCAGCTCCACATTGGGTTCACGTCGCTTTTATCCAATTTTCGAAAGCGGTCTGGTTCCCTGTTTTACGAAAGGGTATAAAAATGTACATGATTGTCTATCGTAGGATGGACGTACGGCTCATGGGCCACGTCTTTCTCTCGTGGAAGCACCACTTGCGCCAAACCTACGTCGTCTTGCCAGCGTCGTGGCGCGAAGCTCGGTATGCGGCCGACGTCGAGCGACTTCGCTCGTCGCTCTGGGCGCTCCGAAAGCACCTCGTGTCGTGGCGCGTGCGCAAGGTGCTCCGCGCATGCGACCACATTCTCAAAGTCAGCGTGTGCAGCAACCCGACGCTCAAAAATCTATTTGCCGCGCACACAAAAGAGGTGCTGCGCCGCCTCGCGCTCGAGAATCGCCTCATGTTTGTCGCGTACAACGAGCGCAAGCTGCACCATTACGAGGTCTCGCTACCTTGATACCTTGATACTTTTTTTCCAAACAATATGCAATAGGAACGCACGACACCCATGTATGGCGGCACCAAAGGCATCAAGTTTGAGTACGACAGCGCGATCTCGTTCGGCCACATTCGCCAAGTCATCGTGGTCTGCGGCAAAAGCATCGATGGGCTCGCGACTGTCGTCAAGTCGTTTTCCGAGACCGTGGAGAGCCGCCTGTATGGCAACCCGTTCGGCACGCGATCGGTGTTTCAGCTCGCGCCGCACGAGCTGTACGTCCCGCACTTGCTTGCAAAACTCTGAATGGGACGTAGCCTCGTCAAGGTCGAAGGGTTCGCGTCGCAGTCGACACTGCTGGGCCTCCGCCTTGGCACGAGCTACGATCGGTACTCGAAGTGGTATGGCCGCGCCGACATCGGCGTCTACTTTTGCCTCGAGGCCGCGCCGGACGAAGAGGTCATTGGCTTCCACGGCTACGCTGCGAAAGACTCGGTGCACGGCATCGGCGCCGTCTTTCGTCGGACCACCGAGCGCAACATCTTTGAAGGTCTCTGGGCCCACGCCAAGGTGTCGGCCGACGACGCTAGCATCAGTGTACGACGCTCGCTGCCATGTAGGATGTGGAAAGATTGTCTTGTAGCAATGCGACCGGCAGTTTTCGCATTTTTTACAAATGCGATCGTGCGACATTTACGCGGCCATGGAGCGGGCCCATCGGCTGGCGCTGCGCATGTGGCGGTCCGAGTCGACGGACCAGGCGGTGAATCGCCTGCGCATCGTCATGGGCATTTGCCACTGGTTTTTCAACGCGCTCACGCACGGTACACCATTTGTTCGAGGCTTTTATGGCCTTGTGGACATACTATATGTATTAGGTCTGGTCAAGCTCAGCGCAAACGAAGACGAAGGACATCGCATTCTCCAGGAAGGCATCAACATCCGCGCGACGGGCGAGCGGCTCGTCGCCGAGGGCGAAAAGATCCTCGAGTCAGTGTCACGCTACCGCGAAGGCCGGAAACAGCAGCTCAACGTTGCCGTGCTCGGCTTCAAGAAGATCCAGGAGCTGCGCCAAAACATCGAGCTCGGCGAGGCGACGATCAAGCGGGTGATCCGATGCATAAGATATCGAACGATCTGACACCATGGTGGACAGGGCAAAGTTCAAATCGCCGACGGCAACAGCGTCATCTTGGCGGGCCGCCAGCTGTTGCCCAAGATCCCGCTCACCGATCGCATGGTCAAGAACGTCCGCGAGCTCTACCGCATCGTGCTCACAAAGGACTCGATGGACTCGATGAGCGACGGCATTCGAAAGCTGCTCCTCCAAGACAAGGACCCGGACACATCGTTCATCGACATGAAGGACGTGGCCGAGGCGCGCGCCAACGCTGCCTTTGATATGGGCCAAGCCCGCGCCGAAGTTGTCTCGTCCAACCTCCGCGAGCGGCTCAAGGTCTCTCCCTAACGAGACAAAGACAGGATTCAAAGCACTCGCACGATTGCTGCGTGCGTGGTTCTCCCTCGCGTAGGCTCCAACGATCGACCAAGCAGATCCAATCCAGTTGCCATCGACGAGAGACTATATAGTGGAATATGGAGTGGCACACTTTTTTTGGAGTGGAAGAGAGTGCAATATGGGGCTAGCTCAACACGGCGGTGGGTTGTGGGGCTGATGTGCACGCCAAGTAGATCATAGACAAGCGTGGAGACCAGGTCGACACGATGGGTTTGCATATCCCAGTGCAGGACCACGACTCATGCAGTACAAAGTATGGGTACTTTGAGGATTAAATACACCAACGTGGCTAGTGGTGACGTCCGTCCTTGAGCGACGCCAGCAAAGTCTCGACGCTCACATAGTTGGCGAACCACGTCTCGCGGTACCGGAGGCGGTTGTAGCATGGCTCAAACGGCGGTGCGAGGCAGTGCAAGTGCAAGTGGTCCACGGACGTGAACGGATACTGGTGAAAGCCAAAGACCCTGCCAAGCACGTGCAGGAGCTATTGCATAGCCGAGAGGACGTACCCTGGCAGCTCGGGCAGCATGAGCACGCTGGCTTCTTTCGCCAAGACCGCCCGGCCGACCGCGACCATGTGCTCGACTACGTGCATGGCCTCTCAATGAGGCGTCGTCGCAGCGGCGAGACGACGTACCGAGATCGATGTGGCCATGGCCCAAGGCGTGCGTGTTGACGATGTGCTCCTTCGGAATCACGAGCAGGTGCGACGCCGCCCGTGGCTTGCGGTCGCGAAAGGCCATGACGCGGTCGTCCTACGCAGCTGGTACCATGAGCCTTCATGACGTGGCGCCACCGGTACCTCGAAGAGGATGCCACTCGTCTGGATCTGCGTCCGGTCGCAGAAGACGCACGGCTGCGGATGGCTCGGTCGCCCAAAGGTTCGCTTCCAGAGGTACATTTCGGGACTGCCCGCTTCGACACACCGGATACACATTTTGTATCCGGATTCAAAATATTCCCGCCAGATATATTGCTGGATGGTGCGCTGGATTTGTCAATATTTGAATATGCGATGTGCGGTTCAACGGCGAAGGCGCCAAGCCCAGTCGTGACGTGGCACCAAGAGCGTGAACGCCTCGACCGATAGATAGACGATTGCTTGGATTTACTTTTCTTTACACTGCGACCGCGTCTAGGCGTCAAGACTGCACGACACCTCCACTGGAGGGTGCTGCCGATGACCGGTTGGTTTTGGCACATCTATCACCAATTCGGAGAGGATAAAACTCTCAGTTGCTTCATGCGTCCGTCGATTTTGCTCTTTTGGGCTGTTTTCGAGTCTCATGTATAGAGAAAGGTCGTCACTCGCAGGCTCGTTGCTCTCCGAGTCGAATGCCGCTTTCAAAACTCTGTACATAGGACCATGTGCTACAGAAGATGGACGTCGTGATACCTGTATTAGTCTATTCTAGAGCTTCTCCTCGTCTGTTGTGGGCCTTAACAAACTACCGACAGAAGAAGCGATCGCCTCAATTTGAGGTGATGTCGACTGAAACACCACCCACAAGACGACGTCTGCCGCTGCCACGTCATCACAACGTGGGACGTACACTTTCATCGCGCGTGCATTTGGCTCAAAGGCGGGGTTACGCAAGAGATAAGCACAGGACTACAGCAAATCGGTAGCTGTCACTGGCTCCTGCACTTCTGCTGCGCCATTTTTGTTTGAAATCCCGCACCAAAATGAGCTCAAGAGTACTCTCTTGGCACTTGGATCCGATAAAAAGGACAGCAGCGACAAGTCGTTTGAATGCACATGGTTGGATTTTACGTTGACTGCCGACCCCGAGCGTGGATGGAACGTACCTTGAAGACAGCAATCAACCGTGCTCAGCAGTTGTTCTCGCTAGTACTCGTACTTGATGTACGTGGAGCATCGCTCTACATAGCGCTTGAGAGCATTGTAAAGTGATTTCTTCCCTTCGCTCCAATGACAAGCTCACCATGGTCACAAGCTGTCTGTGTGGATTTCTGTCACAGCGAGCTCCCGATGGTGACAACCAAAGCAGTGCGACCCCTGACCTTTGACGGGGTAGAAACTAAAGTCCTACACGCGGTATGCTCAAGAATGGTTCGTTGGCGCGTTGAATATGATGTTCAAGACGGCGCTACAGTAAATCCGGTGCGCGGCTACTAAATATGGCGTGGCACCACTTTTAAGCAGGCGCGCAGGTACACCCGGCACGGATTGGTCAAAATGCTGGACATTCCATCGCGTCCATCGAT